TGCCCGGGCGCCGGCGGCAGCCGCCACAGCTGGCGGCGATGCAGGGGCCGAGCCGCTGCCGCAACGTACGAAGGAGGCGTTCCCGGTGCCGCTTCTGCGGCTCCTATTGGGCTGGCTGGCAGCGACGGCGGACGGGGCGCCAGCGCGCCGAGCGGAGCTCGAGCAGGATGCGTGTTGGCTGGTGGTGGGTTTCTTTGGGATGCTGCGGAGAAGTGAGCTGGCGGGGCTGCGGCTAGGTGACGTGCATTCGCTGACTGGTGGGGTTCACGTGGTGCGGATAACGAGGAGCAAGACCGATCAGGTTGGGGCAGGGGTGGATGTGCACCTGGGGGCATCGTCTGGCAGCGGAGTACGCATCGGGCGCATTATAGGGCGCCACCTAGAGCGGGCCCGCTCAGGGGGGGCGGAGCCCAGCGCGCCGCTCTTCACGCGGGGCCCCCAGTGGGGACCGGGGTCGGAGGCTTGGCGGAAGGAGGGGTTTACGCGTAGGCTTAGGGCGCTCTTAGGAGAGATGCAGCGCGCCCTGCCACAAATAGCCGGGCGGGTACCAGATTACGCGTCCCACAGCCTGAGAAGGGGGGGAGCCACGGCTGCAGCGGAAGGGGGGGCCTCTGGAGAGCAGATCAAGGCGCACGGGAGGTGGCGGTCGGAGGCGGTGAGCGCGTATATCCTCCCCTCCGCGGCGGCTAAGGCCCGCATTGTGGGGTGCATGTGAGGTGACGAGGCGTGCGGTGGGTGACAGGGTAAGGGGGGTCCTCTCTAGGCGTGCATGCATGCGGAAGCGCGCCTAGAGCCTAGTACGCCGGGGCGGGTTTTGGGGGCTAGAGCCCATCCGCGCCCGGCTGTTGGTTTTCCCCCTCTCCTGTTGTTCCCCGGAGAGGGTAGGGTGAGGTATCGGCTAGGTAGCAAACTTGGTTAGTTACAGAGTTGGGTCTCTTAGACGCTGTTCGGAGTCTGGGCCCGCAGGCCAGGTCCCAGGCGGTGTAAGTTGATGAGGGGTGCGACTCCTCTGGCACTGGAGTGTGTGCGACAAAAGTATCATTTTGAGTGTCAACTAAAAATGGGGTTTTGGAGCGCATGTACGACAGGGAGCAGAGCAGTCGCCACCAGGCTTGCGAGTGGACGGTGCTAGACGTTTTGACCTTGGTTAAACAGTTTGCCCTCAGCTGGCCTTTCAGGTCTTTGCCGCTGAGTTTCCGTGCGCAGTTAGGAAGGCGCTGACTTTTGCGTAGTTGCAGACAGTTCTTAAGTATGGCTGCAGCTGTAGGTAGGCGAGCCTTTTGTTTCCCACCCTCCCACCCCTACTCTCTCCGGGGTCCTCTCTAGGCGTGCATGCATGCGGAAGCGCGCCTAGAGCCTAGTACGCCGGGGCGGGTTTTGGGGGCTAGAGCCCATCCGCGCCCGGCTGTTGGTTTTCCCCCTCTCCTGTTGTTCCCCGGAGAGGGTAGGGTGAGGTATCGGCTAGGTAGCAAACTTGGTTAGTTACAGAGTTGGGTCTCTTAGACGCTGTTCGGAGTCTGGGCCCGCAGGCCAGGTCCCAGGCGGTGTAAGTTGATGAGGGGTGCGACTCCTCTGGCACTGGAGTGTGTGCGACAAAAATGGGTTTACGCTTTCTTAACCTGTAAGGCCGCACCTGGTTGATTGGTTAACCGTATACTCCTCCTGGTACATGACACGCAGGAGCTCCCCCAGGAGCCCAAACAGTTGGAGCGTCAGCGACCTTTCAGCCTGTGGGCGGCAAGCCCGACCAGCCCAGCTTATTGGCCCAACAACCGAGAACGCACACCCATGCATGCGATAGGGCAACTGCATGTGTTCCCGCCATGATGCAACATACAATTATGCAGCTGTCCCATGTCGGCAAGCATGACTATGGGTAGTAGCATCTCATCAGCTTCATGCAGCTGCCGGGCAGTACTACCGTACCATTCTTTCCCACCTCATGCCGTGCCAGCTTTCCCGCCAGCTTGTGCGCCAGCGCTGCGGCCAGCAGTGACTCATCCTCCCCCGCCAGCTGCAACGTGCGCTGGTGGAGCAGGACCTGGGGGAGGCGGGGGGAAGGGGTAGGCGGAGGGTAGTGCGTAGAGAGCATTTAGGACAGGCACGCACTATGCATCCAGATGACTGCACGTTGGCCTGGTGTTCCCACTCCGTCAGCCAGCAGGCGCTACCGACCTCATGCGTCATGTCCCCGCCTCGGCCAAACGCGCAGGTCGGGTAGCCAGTAGCCAACCATATCTCGCGGCAGGCTTCTGAGTCGAGCTTTCCTCGCCACTCCTGGCTCTCGGCCATCCATTCCTCCTCCCGCCCCTTGAGCTGCTCCTCGCTGGCCCCAACCACGGGCGCCACCACCGCCACCGCCCACGGCATGTCAGGTGGAATGTGGTCGTACTGGCCCCCACCCCGGCCCGCAGAAGCAGCAGCAGCCAGCCGCTGCAGCACCCCCCGCACTCGCACCACGTCAGGGTGGTCGGCGGGGAGCAGCTGGTTCCACCAGCCCACAATGGACCTGGCGTTCTGCGAAGGGATGTATTGATGGGAAGTGGAAGGGGCACAGGGCTTCCTGACAGGCAGAGAGGTGCGTATAAGGGGAATTGGGCTAAGTTACACAAGATAAGTTCTTAAGAGGATGTCATACTTGTGGAACTCGGTAAACGTCCTCCGTATCTTCGGAGGGAATAAGCAGTCGCTATAAAAATTGCAGAATGTTGACAATTGCTGAGTTTAGTCCGCTTTGGCAAGTGCTAGCCCCAACTCACTGCAAGGAATTCCTCCTGTGGCCTCCCCGGCATATACGTGCCGTCCTTCGACGGCTCGGAAGCCCGTGACTTGGGCGCGTGCATGCGGTGGGTGTACGGCACCTGCAGTACAGGGCAAATGTTACAGGCTTGCAGATGTTGCTTAAGGTACCGCAATTGCTCATAGATAAGCACAATGAACAAGTGTATGAGACATATGTTCGTTAGCGTGCCTACACTTCCCTGCTGCCTCATGTCCTTGTCACTTGCCTCTTCAAGCTTCGACAACACGGAAAACACCCAACCAGCAAGCAGCACGAGGATAAAGATCATATTTAGGGTTCTGCGGCGCAAGATACCGGAGGTTAGCGCAAGCGGAAGTAAGCTGGGGGTTGACGCGAATGTCGGTACACCGTGGTCAACATGCATACGGTGCAGGCGATTGCAAGCGCGGTTTCAAGCCTGCGACGGTTTACTTAGTCGAGGTAGGAGGCTCACATTGGTCGGCCGAAACGCCGGAGCAGGGCCGCCGCAAAAGCGCCAATGATGGCCAACGGAACTGGTCCAAAGAGAGCTGTGACACAGGTCAATATCACTATGACCTCAAATCGCCACACGCTGCGGGGGTAGAGGGTTAGGTAAGAGAGCAGGTTGCAGCAGGTCAATCGTTAGATAAGGGCGGAAGCAGTGCGGGCAATACACTTACCACCAAATGAACACCTTCCAGAGCCCTTCCCATGCTTCCTCCCAGAAGGACTGGGCGGAGGCGCCGGTTGCCGTTGCCATGAAGCGCACGAGAGCGAGGGACGTGCTGCTGCTGGCGGCTGCTGGGAAAGCCTGGCTGGCTGCCGCAGCGGCTGCATTGCCAGCTAGGCCCTCCAGCAGGGGCAGAGTCCGGTAAGTTAGTGGGAGGGAGAGCTGGGGAAGGCTAGCACGCGCCGTGACCGGAAGCAACCTTGGTGCGACAGAACGCGGCAGTGCTGGGAGTGCGGAGGTGCAGCCCAGCAGCCCAGCTGGCGAGGCTCCTGCTGCCCGAGTGGCCAAGCAGCAGCTGAGGCGCTGCAGCAGCCTTGCCTGCTGCGATGCGCCCCCCATGGCTCACGGCGAAGCCTGCGTAATTGAGGAACGACAGCGGGAACGTGCATAACGGTTTCCATAATGCGCGCTTCCAGTGCACCTAGCGCAGCCTGGTTTCAGCCGAATTAGGGCCGCTAATACGCCTTTTGCATTCGCCCAACGTAAGGAGGGACATAATGTCCTTACCTTTCCTGGGGTTGCTTTATTTGCAACTGTTGCTCCTGAGACGAACGATGCTATCGACGATGCGAAACGTTGCAAAAGTATATGTTCAAGGAAGTTAAGCAGTGCATTAAATTTAATTAAAGGTTACATAAGAACTTGTGGCTTTTCGAGGCATGGCCGAAAAGGAAACGACACCTTGAAACGACCGACCGTTGCATTTGGCAGACGATGGGTCCGCGTCAACTAATCGTCACATAAGGGGCTCAATTATTAAGACAATACGCGTAAGCTTGGCGTATCCACGTCCCTTCTCATCGGCTCACCCTCCGCTCGACATGGCGTCGCACGTCGGGTCCACTGATGAGCCACCACGTCCACTATGATAGTGGAATGCCGCCTACTATATTGGAGACTTGCAACACAAACTACCTTTGCAATAAGCTAGATACATAATTAACAATACCGGTAGAACGTACGTATGCTAGTAACGTAACTTGCCAGAAAGCTACTAAGGACCTACACGGATACCGGTAGTACTTGCATGCATGTCAGCCATTGGTGCAGGGTGTGCACTGGCTGCTTGGAAACATGCCTCACATGCGCCAGCGAGCCCGGGTCGAGCAACCACCACCACAACGTCAAAGCGCTAGTGAAAGAAAGATGTCTGCTGATAACGAGTTGCCGGCAAAAGGGTCATACCGCGAGACACCACATCAATCCGTGCGGACGCGGAAGCATGCCTACAAGCTTTCCTCCTGTCCCACCAAGCATCCCCGAAGCACGCCGGCCCCTTCCCCGGCGTCCAACACCTCACAGTCCCTCCAGCCATGCAAGGAAGTCGGTCAGGTGCCCGCCAGCACCGGCCACGTGCGCCAGCGCAGCCTGCCGCCCCACCCGACTGACCCGCTCCCATTCATCAAGGTCACCATCACCAGAATCACCAGAATCACCACCGCCCGCCACACCTCCCCTGGCCTCCTCCCCCTCCCGCGGCCCTCCTCCTCCGCCCCGCAGCAGCCCCAGCAGCGTCGCCTCCCAGCGCTCCACATGCTGCCGCGGGAAGCGCCGCGCGGACCAATTGGGCACCCCTGCGCCATCCAGCGGTATCTCAATGGGAGCCACAGGCAGGCGCGGACACACGCCCATGCCCGCCTCCGGCAGCCCGCCTGCATGGGGGGAAGCAGGGTGCGGTGAACGTAAACACCGGTCAGCATGTTGTGTTTGACTCAACAACTGATCCGAGGGTCAAAGAAATACCAAATCACCTCCGATCCGATCCGGGGTTAAGGCTACGCAACAAATGGCTACTTGAGCAGGTCGCTGACCCACCCAGGTCGCTGACGAGCGCCGGCAGCCCCCGCAGCAGCGCCTCCGTCACCACCATGCCCCACGCCTCCAGCCAGCAGGAGGGAGCCAGCACCGCCACGCAGCCCCGCAGCACCGGGTCCACCCCAGGCTGCGGGGACCACAGCTCCACGCTGGGGGCCGCAGGAGGAGGAGGAGGAGGAGGAGCAAGAGAAGGAGGGGGAGGAGTAGGAGAAAGGGTGTCGGCGCCGGTCTGGGCAGCTGTTGATGATAACTTGGCGGCGGTTACTGCTGCTGCTGCGGCTGCGGCTGCAACACCCACAGCGGTGAACGGTGCTAGTGCCGCAGCTACGGCGGGGTCGCCTGAGGGCACGCAGAGCGGGCATGCAGAGAAGGGGAGGAGGCCGCGTGCAGTGAAGGAGCAGGAGGGATGAGGAGCAGGCCGGGGGCAAGGCAGATTATCAACTCTTGCATGCGAATACGGTACACCCTCCTCATATCCCGCCAGCATACCGCTCCATCACAGTGACCTTGCAAGTTACCCGCGGCGCTGTCCCCCCTCTCCTCCCTTCCACCCCAGCCCCACCCTGCAGCCCCGTCTCCCACCTGCCACCACCCGGAACCTCACGCCCCTGCCCGCCAGCCTCCTCGCCAGCTCCACCACCAGCGCACACCCCTTCTCAGGAGTCAGCTTCAGCACTGCCACGTCAACCACCGGACCAGGGGCGCCGCCAGCAGCGGCGGCGGCAGTGGTAGCAGCACCTGGCAGCGGAGCACTACCAGCGGCCTGCCCGCATGGCTCCTGCTGCGGGCAGGGCTCCCCGGGGGCTTCTTCCGCGGGGGCTGCTGCTGCCCCACCCCCGATGCCGCCCTCCAGCTGCGCCGCCCGCCAGGCCCGTAGCAGCGGCCGCGCTTGCTCGCTGAGGTCGGGGAAGGGCGGCGTGCCGTACACTCCCCAGGTTGCCAGGGGCACCACACGCACCGGCGGCAGGCATGGCGGCGGCGGTGCGTCGGCGGCACCGCCTCCGATACCACCTGCTGCCGTCACCACCTGGCCCCCCTGCGCCTGCCCCTGCTCCCGCCGCGGTTGCTGCTGCTGCTGCGCGGGCCAGTGGATGCGCAGGTAGTCCGCCACAAATTCCGACACCGCCACCACGCCCGCCAGCCGCCCCCAGGCCGCTAGCAGCGAGGGGTTGCGCGGCCCGCTGCCGCTGGGCCCTAGCGGCAGGAAGTGCACGTTTTGCACCAGCGCTAGGCAGCGGCGGGGCGGCGCAGCGGAGGTGACCACCTTGAACAGAGTTATGGCGGGGACATGGGGGGTTGAGGCACAGGATGATGCGGAGGAGGAGGTGGTGGTGGTGGAGGCGCTGCTGCCCGAGGGTGCTGCTGCTGCTGCTGCTGTGGGTTCCCTCCCTGCTGTCCCTGCTCGCTGCGGCTGGGGTTGCAGGAGCAGCTTCTGGCTCTCATCCGCATCGATGATGACCCACGCGTCCCGGCTGCAGCGCAGCATGGGGCAGCTGTTGCCACCCGCTGCAGCGGCTCGCGCAGACGGTGCCTCCTCGCTCGCTACAGGGCTTGTGGTAGCTGTGGGCTTCACAGATGTCGCCGCTGCCACCGCCTCGCACCCCGTCAGGCCGCGCAAGCATGCGGCAAGGGTGGCTAGGGTGGCGGGAGTGAGGCCTGCAACAGCAACGTTAGCGAAACCCTCGTCGCTGAGCACGACGTGCTGTTGCAGCCGCCCCTCGCGCCAGCTCACCACGCCTGGCCGCGCGAAGCTCAGCAGCGGAAGCAAGCCGGACATGCCCGCATGCACAAGGACCTGGATCGGGAGTAGGCAGCATGGACGCAGCTAAATATCGTGTAGTAGTACAAATCGAGGTTGTTGCTATAAAGCAGTATATGCGCGCGCACCTTGCCCCTGCTTGCAATCGAGATGAGGTGCACGTCGAAGCCCTCCGCCGCCAGAGTCGATGCCATTGACATGAATGCATGCTTGCCTCCAGCAAAATGACTGTCATGCGCTGTGATGACATGTTGCTTGAACAAGACGAAACGCGTCCTTCGTTGAGGGCTAGGATCTGCCATATTGCTGGCGTCTGGGCCCTAGCATTTCTAGCAACCTCAGCCTACTATAAGGAGCCCGCAATTTGGCGTGTGCACTCACTTTGCCGGAATCATGTGGATTAACTGCCGTGCTAACGACCGGGTCACGGCAAAGTCGAGTCCTTCTTTCCACCGCGATCTTCGACTGGCACAGACCTGATACCAGTACAAGTACGTATGCTTAATACCGATTCCATTGACCACCGCTTTGGTTGTACCATACGCAATCGTCGTCCTCCCCCCGACACGTTGAATCATGGAGAAATTAGCGAAGCAGTATGAAGACCGGTATACATTCACCGCGACTAGGTATGCATAGTTGTCGCCCTGCTAACCTTCGGGAAGCTGTCGAAACGCTGTGTTGCTCGCAATGTCTGGCCCACAGCCGAGTGCCAGTCACCCTTGCGCAACTGGCGGAGGAAACAAGGTGCCCAATATGCTTCGGTGAGATAATTGTTTGGGCCCGGCGTCGAGCCTGCAGTGCAGCCAACCTGCTACGGTAATTTCTCGCGGCTGCTGCATTGCGTGACTCGCTGGCAGACAGACACACAGTACTGCGCGCGCAGCTGCTCAACGGTATCCAAACAGCTTATCGGAGACCATTGCAGGTTTCCTTGCATGCAAGCCGCCCCGCTCAAAGTCCCTTGCCTGCCCCCTCCTGCAGGCCTCCTCAAGCAGACCGTCACGTCCACCCTGTGCCTGCACCGCTTCTGCGCCAAGTGCATTGAGAAGTGTCTGGCGGGCAGGTGGATTGAGGGCCACCGGGGGCAGAGACGTTTTGGGGTTTGCGCCCTGTATCTATCCCAGGCTTTCTAATTTCCGCACATCTTTGCCTACGGTACCGACATCCCGCCTGCTGCACCCTGTTCGCTGCATGCAGCCTTACCCGATGCACCCTTTCACAAAGCCCGTCCTATCGCTCCCTTGCCTCTTGATCTCTCTTCCTCATCCCCAACATCGATATCTCCCTCTCCCCCGGCCAGGCCGCCCCAGCATAAGGAGTGCCCGGTTTGTCGTACCAACCTGCATAGCCACCGCTTCCTCAGACCGGTGGGTGCATGGGGAAGAATGTAGGAGGGAGGAACCGGACCGCGACAGCTGCCGGCGGGTTCCGTTTCTCTTGCAGTGTAGGGTTCGGCCCATCACCCGTGTTCCCTTTAAGAGAACCACCATAACGGTCCTTCATTCAGGCTGTGTGCGTGAGCTCCAGCCAGCCAGCCGCCACCCCTGCACATCCTGCCAACCCATATCTGCTCCCTGCCCTCCCGGCCCCTCAGGACGCAAACTTTGACCGGCTCCTCAAGGCGCTGTACGGCGATGTACTCGTGTACGGCCAACAGGTACGGCAGACTAGCGACTCGCGTGTGATGTCTGCTCGGGCTGGCTTGCAGCGCGTCCTTCTCTGCGCCGTGCTGGCTGCTCTTATACCGACCTCATGTTGCTGTCGCTTGTCTGCCCTGCTCTTCTCTGTTACCCTCTAAACCCACTTGCGTCCACCCCTTCGCCCGCAGGAGGATGCGCTGGTAGCGGCGGACAACGCGGCTCATGCGGATCAGGCGGCGGCGGAGCAGGAGCAGCGGGCGGCGCAGCGGGCACTGCAGCGGGCCGCAGTGGCAGCCAGCCGGCCGCCGCAGCAGCACCACCACCCGCACACACAGCAGCGGGAAGCGGAAGAGCGCGGAGGTAGCTAGGACAAGGCGTACCGTGTTATGTAGGGTTACCGCTGTCAGCCAAACTGCCTGCTACGGCGGTGGCAAGGGAGTCTGGGGTTATCTTTCCTGTCAGGGCCTGGCAAGGCGTGGGAAAGGAAGAGAAAGCAGAAGGGGTATACATTACCTAAGGCACCGTCTCCCCTCCCTCCCTCTCGCCTCATGCAGGTACGGCGGCCGGCGGCGGCAAGCGCGTCCGAGAGGTGCCGGATACTGCTGCTGCTATCAGTGCAGGGAGCGGCAAGCGGCAGCACCTCTCCTCACCCGCCCTGCCCCGCGCACCCAGTCACCACCCGCATCCTCAGTCTGCCAGCCACCAGCAGCAGGAACGGCACCAGCGGCAGCAACCCCAGGGAGCCCCGCCGCCAGGTCCCATGGGTCATAGCCAGGCTCAGGAGGACGCCACTGCCTCACAAAAATGTCAACGGCTGCATCCGCCGGGGCCCGCAGCCCATGAAGGGAGGCAGGGTGGCAGCGGGAGCGCTGGTGTTGCTGCTGCCGGCGGGTCGGGCAGGTGTGAACCCGCCAGCAGCAGTTGCCTGCCTCGGGGGGGCCAGCTGGCGGGGGTGGTGCCCACTGCCCGGTCCGCTGGGGAGCTGGGGCTGCGGCACCCGGGGCTGGTGGTGGTGCAGCTGAGGCCGGCGGAGGGGCAGGGGGAGGCAGGGAAAGGAGGGCAGGCAGGCGGGAGGGAGACGGGGACCGCACCCGCTCTGGAGAAGCCCTTCCTGCTGTGCCCAGCCAAGTGGACGGTTGCGCACGTGGCGCAGGTGGGGACGTGGTGGGGGCGGCATGGGATGGGGTTGGGAACCGCGAGGGATGCTGGCCATGTGATAGGCATGCCGGAAGATGACGGTCGATTGTGTGTAGCATTGAGCAGCACATCAGTACCGTTTCTTGATCTACAAGCGGTCTTGTGTCCTTCATCGCCGACCTGCACCTTTGCCTCGTCTCCGCAACTCCACTCCCTCTGCTCCTCCCTACCCCCATGCCCTCCTCCATGTACAGCTGCTAGCGCAGTGGCTGCCGCCGCTACTGCCCGGCCACAGCTCCGCCCGCGGAGGCGCCACCCGGCCGCCGCTGCCTGTCTCGCACATCCACCTGCAGCTGGCCACAAACGGTACCAATAATGGTGGCAGCAGCAGCAGCGGCAGTGGTAGTGGTGGGGTGCCCCAGCGCTGCCAGCCGCTGCGAGGCGCTACCTCATTGGGAGCGCTGGGGGCGGGAGGCGGCGCTGAGTCGTCCAGCAGGCGGCACCTGGAAGGCGGAGGAGGCGGCCAGCAGGGGGCGCATGCGCAGCTGGTGGGTCGAGGTGGACTGACACGTGCAGACGGAGAAGGTGTCGAGGCGTGCCTTCTTGCTGTGTACCGTAGTGCGTGCTTGCTGGTCGTCGCTGTGAGGCTGATGGCCTCACAAGTGGCTCACGGATGGTCCACAGCATCTGCCGGTACCCCCGTGTGTCGCCTCCCCGCAGGTGCTCACCTACTGGATTGCTCCCCCCGAGTAGCGGGGTGGCGCAGCTGCTGTCGTGCAGCGCTGCCGTCGGTGTGGATGCTGGGAGGTGGTCAGCAGCACTGGTGAGCGCTGCGTGGGACTGCCAGCAGCAGCAGGAGCTGAGGTAACAGGTGCAGGGAGTGACAATGCATGGGGTGGATGCAAGGCATGACCTGCACCGGAGACTGTGTAGGAGGGAGAGAGGTTTGGTACGACTAGGTTGAGGTACGGCTGCATGCCGCTGACGCGCGGGTATCCTGGCTGGTGGCATGGGGAGCAGATTGAAATCAGGTACTGGGGTACTGCACTGAATTAATGGTACTATCAGGGCAGTGCTAGTTTTACAGCCGCCAGGGCAAAAGCCACTCCAGCGGGTATCATATCCTCCTTGGGCCGTTCCATATCCTCGTGTGTACTTCAAACGGATATCATGTAGTGCACTACTCTGCGATTACGGAGCAGCCAATGTCATAAACCACAACTTCTGTAGTATGCTGGCCAACCCTACGCACGGCTCCCGTCACTGGTTATTGATTAGACCCTATAAGTAATCTTCGTTATCCAAGCGACACCATCGATAGGAGTAGACACCGCATTCCTTCAGACAATTAGATTATGCCCCTTCGCTTAGACAACTACTCCCATACGCTCAAGTTGGCCGGCGGACAACTACGTACCGAGCACAACAGTATCAGGATTGCGGCTTGTTGATATCAACACATCGAGCACAACACATATCATAATCCTGAGTCCTTTGTGTCAGGCATGGCACTGAGACCATGCCTTAGCACATACCAATGCATGCATGACTGGGTTTGGCCTAGCGAGTTTTCCGTACTGCATCGAATCTCTAATTGCGCCTGCAAAGTAATCTCCGTGACTCAGCACCAACACTATCTTCACAACAATACCATACCTTTGACGCTGTGAACGCACGGCTTCTCAAAGCGACCCACGGGTCGAAGCACGTTAGCAGCACGGTTCTACTACCAGCAATACTCACAGGCTCCCGCAGACATACACTGTACAGCAACCGCCGGTTTCTTTCTCCTTAATTGACAGTTATGAATAGTAGGCACAATTCCACTGAATAGACTAGATGTACGACATACACTGCTCGTTCTGCTGGTACGTCGAATTACAACCTGATGAAGCCCCGGGATGCTTCCCCGCCCCCTCAACAGCAACAATCGAATAGCTTACCTGGAACTGACTGCTAGCCACTCGACCAGACCCGCTTCAACGTGTACAATCACATGCAATGCGTGCATGCTGCCCTCCCATGCCCGGCCCTACCCCCTAGCACCCCTCACAGCCCCTCCTTCCGCATCTCCGCAAGCAGCTCCCGCATCCGCGTCTTTAGGCAGCGAAGCTCCGACTTGAGCACACCCTTCTTGCGCTGCAGCTGCTCCTCCAGGTCGTCGAGGCAGCCCTGCAGCTCGGAACTCAACGGGCCGTCGTCAGCACGCATTGCCGCGGTCAGCAGCGAGGTGCCATCGTCAACCGACTTCTCTTCCTCCTCACTGTCGGCGGGTTCTGATAGCGCCTCCTTGGCGGCTTCCTCGTCTACCAGTCCCAGGAACCTTAAGACGGCGTTGGGGACGCCTGCGGCAGGCTGCTGCTGCCCCGCGGCCCCAGGGCCCAGCAGCTTGGTGGATGCGCCCGAAGCCAGCAGGGCTGCACCCGATGACGAGGACCTGCGGGACGTGGGTATGTCGCGGAAGATCGTTATAGTAAATTCCCTATAACAGAACACGGGTGCCGAACCCAGCCCTACATTGCAAGAGAACCAAAAGAAGAGGCATGTCCGGGCAGTCCGAGGCATGCAGGCTGGGTTCGGAGCGCTGAACACATGCATGAACATGCCGGTCAGGCGGAAGGGGACGTAGGTAGCGCTCCAGCACCCAGCGCCTTCCAAACCACGTCAATTAGTCTCGTTGTCTTCGCCTTCAGTCAGCTAGGTCTCCCCGGTCCAACCACATTCCCCCACCACCAGCTGCAAGGACTTCAACTCACCCGCTGGTAGCGGCGGAGCCCTTATCCGAGCTGTCCTGACGCTGGCGAACCTCCGTGGGCTGCCCCACCGCGCTTGTCGCCATGACCGCCGTTGCTTCCTGCGCAACCGCGTTCACCGCCACTGATCCTGCCGTCTCCACCGCCGTGTACAGGGTGGTCGGCTCCCAGCTGCTGCTGCTGGCGGTGCTGGTGCTGATGCTGGTGCCGCGGCAAGTGCTCTCGCCGCCACGGTCACCGAGCAGCTGCCGGTGCGGGTCGTTCCGGAAATACCCCTCTGCAGCCGCGTTCTTGGGGCGGCTCAGGTCCGGTAGTTCCTTCACCATCTCCCAGATCCACCGGAAGCCGCTGCCGGGGTCCGTCCGGCACACCGCCGGAGCCCGCCTGCCCTCCGACCATCGCAGAACGCGCCCATCGATCTGTGGCAGATAGAGGAGGGGCGTGTATGATAAGGGTCAAGCACATCTTTGATACACAAGTTAGAAATCAGCTGTCGTTTTGCGAACCACATGCACGCAGACAGCAAGCACTGTATATATGCATGCAACGTAACAATGCATGCAGGCCAGTGCATGGCTCCCTTGCTCTACAAGCGGTTTCACGAGCTCACCGTGCGTCGGGTCGTTCCAATCAGCTGCAGTCCCTCCTTGCTGGACACCCGGCTCATGGCGGTGTAGAGGATGCCGTGCCAACCGCCATATTGGCTGTCCAAGGATGACAGGTCCACAATAACCTGGGGGGCAAATATTTTCGAGAAACAGTGAGAGAACATTCACAATCCATACCCTGAAAACTAACCTGACTGGCTATCTGCGTTGTGAAGGACTGAAACAAGGGGCCAAAGGGCCACCTATAGCTACTCCATGCGTAATTTCTACGGTCTGCAGTACGGCAGTGCACTGCTGCTATACGTACAGCTACCGTTGTACATACCTTGTCAAGTGTCATGCCCTGCGACTTGTGCACCGTTATAGCCCAGGCCAGCCGGAGAGGGACCTGAGGACACGGTAGGGATCGAGGGGAGCGCTAACTCGTACATGTCTTCCATAATCGCTTGGGAGACGTGTCAGTCATACATGGACCTAATGGGGAACGGACGCTAGCTGTCTTCAGGACACACTGGTGAAAGTGCTTGCCGCATCGTGCTAAGCCAAGGAACTGCCCGCTCAGGCGACCCACCTGCACTCGGAACCGTGCACCCAGTCCAGGTATCAGCTCGGTGAAGATTGAGGGCGCCAGCTCCATTGTCAGCCCGTTAGCGAACTTGACCACTGGCACCTGGGCGTTCTTCCTGTACCACCTGTGCACGAATGAGAAAGTTCCAACGTTGGGGTCAAGCAAGGGACGTGCTGTGACCATCAGTCCTTCAACAATGGCCAGTTGCGTGGATGTAGAAAGTCAGGAAGTAGCAATGACAGTTGTCAGAGGTACCAGGAGCGGATAAGAAGGATCGACATATCTGCGTGCATGTTACCCTTCGTGTACTGGTATGGAACCCCGCACATAGACAGCAGATGGCCGCACCCCTGCCTAACCTACATTCCAAGGGCCTCCTCCGTCTCATCGCACTGCAGGTCCTTCTCCAGTGCCGCCAGGGGCTGCTGCCGGGAAAAGCCGCTCGTCCCGGGGGCTGTGAAGCCCACCACCACCCCGCGCGAGCCGTTGACCAGCCCAGCCTGCACGTCCAGGTTCCGCAGCAGCAGCACCTGCGCGCCCACCTGCGAGCGACGCGAGGGAGGGAGCGAGAGGTTGGGATGTACAGCAGAAAGGCAATCGTGCGAAAACTGGGTGACTCTCCCTGCTGCTGAGGCTGTGGGCTTCATGGTAATGTCCGTGAGTCTTATGCGCAGCGGCCGTGTTCCCTTGTTTTCTTCGACCCTGACGCCTCCCACTGCCCCTCACCTTGAGCTGCACCTTGTCCGCCGCCTGGCAGTCTTTGAAAAGACCATTGTCTTTCTTCATCAGGAAGCACTTGGTATCCGATCGCCACGTCTCTTCGTCATCCCCGACCGGTGGCTTGAAGGTGATGGCGCACGTGTTCTGAGCGGAGAACGGCACCTGTGTATGACAGCAGGACGGCAAACATTGCAACATAGCCTGAGCAACGCGTCATCATCCATGCCATTGTAACATGCATTTGCCATGCAGCTGACAGTTCTTACAGACGGTGGATGGCCACTAGGCCTCCCGGTCTAACTCCTGTTTCCATCCACGGGACCGGCCTTGGGTAGTTGGTCCTCCTCCCCTCCTAGGATTTTCTCCATCCCATTCTGGCCAGCAGACATACCTCCGGTGTGCTCAGGTTCTGCAGCTGCTTGTTATTCTCCTCATCTACGTTGCGGTTCTTGCCATACAGAATGGTGGCCTTTATGCCGTCTGACTCATCGAGCGGGCGGCTGCAGTCCCGCACTAGCTGCTCCATCACCTTCTCGTACTCGTCCTGCCCGCCGCAGCGCACCGTCATCAGGTCGCTTTGGAAGCTCGCGTCCGACTGACGGAACACCTGGAGTTGGATGGGCGAGGGGAGGAGTCGAACAGAAATGGCTTGCGCCCGGGGTCAGGTCGGAATAAATTGAGTCGACCGGCTGGTCGACTGCACGCAGCAGGGGTGCACGCAGGTGGAGAGGGGAAACAAGAAGTCGAAACGGAAGATGAGCATTGGGCCAAAACATACCGGAATGTACCGGTTACATGGACTAACTGACAAGATTCTAGCAAACGAATTCATGCTACAACAAGGTACAGCCCCCGCCCGCCACCACGGTACGTGCCTTGGTGAGCCGGACCACCTTGAAACCGCCGTACTCGTACACGGGCGCCTCGAACAGGAAGCCCCGGTTGAGGAAGGTCTGCTCCAAGGGCCGCAGCGGGGCCGACTTGGGCCCACCGTCCGCGGCATGCCGCTCCTTGCCCTCGATCGGCCCCAGTTGAAAGAAGTCGCCGCACAGCACCAGCTGCAGCCCGCCGAAGGGGCGGTCCAACCGCTCCTTGTCCATGCCCTGTGTAGCATATGCACAGGTGCATCAAGGGCAGGCCAAAAAGGGGCGTTAAGCGGATACGAAGGCAAGATGTTTCACAACACAACCCTTCCCATCGCTCGATAGCACGCACGCACCTCCATTATTACCCGAACATACAAGCACAGCTTGCTTGACCGCTATCACAGTTCACGTACCTCCCTCTCCATCCCTGACAGCCGCGCCCTCTCCGCCGCCTGCTTACGCGCTCCCGTCAGCACCGCGTCCAGCCCCTGCAGCATCTCCGCACTCATCATGCTCATCTCGTCCAGGATGATAACGTCCAGCTCGTACAGAAAGCCCAGGTCGGTGTCGTAAATACTATTGAAGTTTTTGTACTGCTCTACGCGCCCCAGGCGGAGTAGGGAGTGGATGGTAGTGCCTGCGAGGATAAGACAGGACCAACATCACGGAGCGATGAGTAACAGGTGACACTGTGCACTGCTTCATGAGCCTACAATAAAAATCCGGTACACCAGCCGTACAAGCTGCGCCCTTACCTCCCACATGAGTGGCCGCAATCCCCGTCATGGCGGTGACCGCCACCCTCTTCGTGTACATGCGACCGTACTTCGTTGACAAACGGGACTTGAGCTCATTGAGAACCACCGTCTTGCCGGTACCCGCCGAGCCGGTCAGGATGATGTTGGGCCGCTCCTCCGATAGCGCCAACCTGACTGCATTCACCTGCTCCTCGGCGAGCTCGATCTTTGGTGGCTTCGCCTCTTGGGGCAGCTTGACAACTTCGACGTGGGAATGTCTTGCGGCCTTCCGACGGGTTTTGCCGCTGGCTACAGGAGCCACGCAACAGGTCCGTGGCAAGGGCCTCGTTAACAACATAGGCATTCTACCTATTGTTTGCAGCGGACACCTGGCTAGGGATGGCACACGAGTGGGCGCATAAGAGGCTGTTAATCTGCCGAGCGACGCCATCCTGCTGGGGTCTTAACTACTGGTGTTATGTTTAGCCTTTAACAGTTGTTTTCATCAAAATTAGGCATGCAATTTAACAATATCTCGTGAAAGGACTGCCGTTCAAGGAGGTGACACATGTCATTGGGTCGCGCCTGCTGGGGTCCCATCAGGAGGTGACGCAGCAAACAGAAAGCGATGTAGGTTACATGTATGTGCGAACGACCAAAGGAGCCTGCACATGATAACTGTATCTGGGGCGTTGTTCGTTGTTGAGTACAACTGATGGTAGTTTCGAGGCGCCCCAGCTGGCTAGGAAATGTGCTCTCTCAATAGGTAACATATCTTCGTTGTGTGTAAACCGCTCACTTACAGTTATGAGTGTGCCCGGCGACTCTCCACCGTCCGGTAGCTCCGAGCCGTTCAACAAGGCAGAAGTGTCGTGCAAACATACATGTGGTTATAAAGCTTAAAGTTTCCTTGCAGAACGGGTTACTCCCCGCCAACTCCGTGGGCATGCGGTGGGACAGTGCACGGCGCCTAGAGCTGGTGTTGGCGCTGCGTGGCGTTCGCGCGCACAGCATGGAAAGGGGGCCATCAGTAGCTACGGCTCCTGCCCGCCGGCTCGCTCTGCAGTCCAGTGTCTGCAGGGCTTCACGACAAAGGTTCCCTCGCGTGTGTCGTGCACTGCAACGCCAGCCTCCAGCGCATGACCTGCACACACAAACACGCTACTCACGTCGCATCTCCTCCCAACTTAAGGAGGCCTTCCCGCTATACCCGTACCCGCACCTTCATTCTTCCCTGCGCCTATGTAACCCACGGGGCTATACCGGTAGTAGTAGCGGGTGTTGCGTCAGCAATTAATTGGAGCAGACACAGCAGCAGTACTGGATGGATAAGCCTGTAGCGATATGTGTTTCGGCGAACCGGAGGATTCACACCATTGTACTGCTGTCGTATTCGTGGGACCCTTGGGTCAGATAAATGCCGTTGCGCCTTTCTGTTTCTTTCAGCCTGCCTTAGCATGTCTTACATTCCGGCAAGAGCCGTTAAGTGTTAGCGTTACACAGTACCGCTTTGGTAATGCGATGCACGGCGTTGAACATTATAAGCTGTCGAGCAGCCAGTGTAGTGAAGGTGACTATGACTGCTGGCTTCATAACCTGTTCCATGTAGCCTACGTGTACCCCATCTCGCCCTTTGTCCTCAATTTGCATAAAGTTCACGACGCTTCCCTCGGACGTGACTGGCAGACAACTACAAACTAGGCAAAGCACCGCAAGCATACTCCAGAACCTGCTTGTAGGACATGGGTGCGGAATTAAGATGCATCTTTACACCATCGGAATGCATCACTGTAATGGTCATTCATTTATAATGCGCCGGACTACATAACATATTTTAACATTATACCATTTATGCTGCAGCACACGGCTCTCATTGTAACGCGACCCATGGGTCTGGGCACGTTGACAGTAATAAGCCTTCCTACCAGCATTACTCACTTGCCCCTGAAAACACACACTACACAACAGAAACCAGTTCATATCTACTTTTTAACAGCTAATGTGTACCGGTATTCCGTACAGTTCCGCTCGGCACAAAACGTACATTACATGTACCGTTCATCCTGGCGTGTCCAACCTAATACCTTCGAGCTTGAGCAAGTAATTGACATTCTGCGGATGCCCGGGGTCCTCCAGCTAGGTCTGGTCCCAAAGCCAGCCGCGACGGGCAAGCATACACTACATGCTATGGAACGTATGATCAATGAAACAGACATGATGACCTGGCTTCTATTGTAACACAATGCACGGTGGCTACACCTGCTACAGTCCTGCTAATGATGACACTCCAAGTAAGCTTTAGCAAACAGACATTGCCCTGCTAGGTTGCCCCAGGATGCTTCCCCGCACCCTCCGTAGCAACAAAACATGGAGTAGCTGAAACCTAGAACGCGCTGCCAGCGGCTCTTCAACACAGCGACCAGGCCCGCGGTAGCCGGCAAGCACACGAACGCACCCACTCGTGCCCGGCCCAGCACCCCAGCACACCTCACAGCCCCTCCTTCTTCAACCTGTCCAGCAGCATCCCCATCCGCGCCAGTATCAGGCGCAGCTCCGACTTAAGCGGCGCATTCTTGCGCGCCACCTGCGCCTGCAGCACTGCCATACACTCCGCCAACTCGGAACTCAACGAGTCGTCGTCGTCGTGATGCGCTGCCGCGGTCAGCAGCGAGGTGCCCTCGTCAACCGACTTCTCTTCCTCCTCACTGTCGGCGGGTTCTGATAGCGCCTCCTTGGCGGCTTCCTCGTCTACGCGTGCCATGAGCTTGAAGACGGCGTTGGGGACGTCTGCGGCAGGCTGCTGCTGCCCCGCGGCCCCAGGGCCCAGCAGCTTGGTGGATGCGCCCGAAGCAAGCAGGGCAGCATCCGATGATGAGGACCTGCGGGAGAGTGGACATGCGTGGAAGACAGTTACAGTAGTTCCCTAAGAACAGAATACCGGTACGGGCCGTGTGCGCAATTACACTGCAAGAGAGCCGAGAGAGCGAGTCCTAGACATGCAGGCTGAGTTTGGAGCGCCGAACACATGCATGAGATACGGTATACCGGTTCCGGTTGCAGGCCCCATGCGACCTAGCTGGCGACCCAGTGCCCAGACGTCTTCCACTCCACGTCAGGTTCTCTCATTGGATTCGACTGCTGACCTACGAGCTCGTTTGGTAACATGCCAGCTAGGTCCCCCCGGTCCAACCACAACCCCCATCACCAGTTGCAAGGACTTCAACTCACCCGCTGCCAGCAGGGCCCTCATCCGAGCTGCCCTGCTGCTGGCGAGCCCCCACCGCGCTCGTCGCCATCTCAACCGTGCTGCTGGTGCTGCTGGTGCTGCTGGTGCTGCTGGTGCTGCTGCTGCTGCTCTCGCCGCCACGGTCACCGAGCAGCTGCCGGTGCGGGTCGTTCCGGAAATACCCCTCTGCAGCCGCGTTCTTCGGCAGTTCCTTCACCATCTCCCAGAGCCACCGGAAGCCGCTGCTGGGGTCCGTCCGGCACACCGCCGGAGCCCGCCTGCCCTCCGACCATCGCAGAACGCGCCCATCGATCTGTGGCAGATAGAGGAGGGGCGTGTATGATAAGGGTCAAGCATAATGAGACTTAGAACTCAACGTGCTGCCAAACTTTGACCAACAGCCCGCATAAAGGCAGACAGCAAGCGCTGTACGTATGCACGCCCATGCAGGTCCATGCATTATGGGCCCTACCTCTCCCCTACCCTTCCACAAACTCACCGTGCGGTTGGCCGTTCCAAACAGCTGCAGCCCCTCCTTGGTGCGTACCCGGCTCAGGGCGGTGTAGACCACGCCGTGCCAACCACCGTTCCGGCTTGACAGGGTTGACAGATCCACGATAACCTGCAGGGGGTATTTAATGGCGAGGAAGGGTGAGAGAGCTCAACCCAACAACCTGCTGGCCGCGAGTAACAAGGGGCCTGGCAAAGGATCCAAGGGGCCTTATGCCTGCAGGTGCTCCATGCTGCATGCCTATCACAGTTATGTGCCATCGCTGCCGTAACATTAACCACCATTAAGAACAACTGCCTTCGCACCTTGTCAAGTGTCATGCCCTGCGACTTGTGCACCGTCAGAGCCCAGGCCAGCCGGAGAGGGACCTGAGGACACGGGGATGAGCGGCGCTAACCCGCATAGTTTTCATGACCTTGAGGGAGGCGTTGTATGCCGCACATGGGCATTAATTTCAAAAAGAGCGACGGACCTTTGCGGAGGCATTGCCTGCCAAGGCATGTTGTGGTATTGCCTGCTAGAGCAGACACCGCTATTGCTTGCTAAGGCACAACATACGTACCAGAGCGGGGCAGGCGACCCACCTGCACTCGGAACCGTGCCCCCCGGCCGGGTACCAGCTGAGTGAAGATCGTGGGCGCCAGCTCCATTTCCTTGCCGTTAGCGAACTTGACCACGGGGACCTGGCTGTTCTCCTTGTACCAGCTGTGCACGTACGGGTAGGTATGGTGGCAAACACCCACTCATCAACCAGTAAGTTCAACATCTATCCATGCAATGCATGGTCCTTTGGGGTACACTAACGCCCTGAAACGACCCCTCGCACACAGGCACACAGGCAGCTTCATCTTCCGACATCCCAGTACGTTCCTACTCGCGGCCAGTTTTTTAACACAAGCAGCAGGTAGCCGCACCTCTACTTCTAAACGTACGCACCTATCGAGGGCCTCCACCACCTCATCGCACTGCAGGCCCTTCTCCAGCATTGCCAGTGGCTGCTGCCGGAAGTAGCCGCTCGTCCTGGGGGCTGTGAAGCCCACCACCACCCCGCGCGAGCCGTTGACCAGCCCTGCCTGCACGTCCAGGTTCCGCAGCAGCAGCACCTGCGCGCCCACCTGAGAGCGATGCGAAGGAGGGAGCTAGAGGTTGGGATGTACAGCAGAAAGGCAATCGTGCGAAAGCTGGGTGACTCTCCCTGCTGCTGAGGCTGTGGGCTTCATGGTAATGTTCGTGAGTCTTCTGCACAGCAGCCGTGTTCCCTTGTTTTCTTCGACCCTGACGTCTCTGACCGCCCCCTCACCTTGAGCTGCACCTTGTCCGCTGCCTGGCAGTCTTTGAAAAGACCATATTCCCTGTTCATTAGGAAGGTCTGTGTATCAAATCGCCACTTCCGCTTGTTGTGACCATCCGGTGGGTTGAAGGTGATGGCGACCGTGTCCTGAGCAACGAACGACTCCTGCATATGGCAGCAGAACAGCAAGATGTCGTTCGCGTGACCAACCAGGCTGTTGATACATGCACTCGTTATGCTGCTGGCAACCAAACCTCCCATGTCGATGGCAGCGTAAACTTCACGGGGGGTGGGGGGGGGGTCGGCCTCAGTTAGGTGCCCCCCCTGCTGCCTCCTCTCCTAGCCCGAAGGCATACCTCCGGCGTGCTCAAGTTGTCCAGCTGCTTCTTGTTCTCCTGGTCCACCTCTTTGTTATGTCCGTACAGTACTGTGGCCTTTATGCCGTCTGACTCATCGAGCGGGCGGCTGCAGTCCCGCACTAGCTGCTCCATCACCTTCTCGTACTCGTCCTGCCCGCCGCAGCGCACGGTCATCAGGTCGCTTTGGAAGCTCGCGTCCGACTGACGGAACACCTGGAGTTGGATGGGCGAGGGGAGGAGTCGAACAAAAACGGCTTGCGCCCGCCGGGGTCAGGTACCAGAAAATTAACCGGCTGGCCGACTGCATGCAGCAGGGGTGCACGCAGGTGGAGAGGGGGAACAAGAAGTCGAAATGGAAGATGAGCATTGGACCAAAACATACCGGAATGTACCTGTTAACATCGATAAATTGACAAGATGCTAGCAAGTGAATTCATGCTACAACAAGGTACAGCCCCCGCCCGCCACCACGTGCCTTGGTGAGGTGGACCTCCTTGAAACCACCGTACTCGTACACGGGCGCCTCGAACAGGTAGCCCCGGTTGAGGAAGGCCTGCTCCAAGGGCTCCTGCTGACCCGGTTCGGGCCCTTCGTCCTGGCTGTCATGCTCGATGGGCCCCAGTTGGAAGAAATCGCCGCACAGCACCAGCTGCAGCCCGCCGAAGGGGCGGTCCAACCGCTCCTTGTCCAAGTCCTGTGCGGCAGCAGATGCATTATGGTGGGAAGCGCTTGTGATGAGATGCAAAGGGGGCACTGGGTGACATTTGTCACGGAAACGAGGTGTCTCCCCAGCAAGATGCTTCACCTACCCGTACAGCACGAACCCGTCCCCATTATAATAAGGACATGTGACTCCCCAAACACGGAGGTAGGTCCGCTGTGAATCACCTCTCTTTCCATCCCCGACAGCCAATCGAACTGGAGAGGTTATACCATCCATACCTTTCAGTCCATGTTGGTTTCCATTTGGAAGTCTCCGTAACTGCAGGAATGGTATGCGTATAGCAATCATCCGTTCTGCAAGCTCGGGAATGCCTTGCAGCTCAGGTGGAACCTCTGGAAGTTCTAGCCCGTTGTCCAATGAAAACCTCGGGCACCGGTCCCTACGAATGCTGCCAAGGCATGTGTGGCATATGTAGCCCACACCGCGCCGTGTTACCCAGCCCGCTAGATTGGTAGCCCACTCCTCGTTGAGTGTGTCATACATGTTTTCTGTGACCTCCACTACTGATTGCCTGAACAGCTTGCGTTCGCAGCAGCAGCAGGCATACGAGCAGGACTCAGCAAAGGCAGGTCTGCAGGCTTCCTCTGCTGCTTCAACTGAATTATAGGTGCACCTCTGCACACCACTGTTTTCGTCGAATGCTGGCAGAGCCTCGTCACCAAAGTCGTCATCTTCTACGTGGGCAGGGGTTTGTGGGTGACATCGGTGCATGTTGGTCGCAGCAGCTAGTATTCAGTGGTACGTTCTCTTCAGTGCAGCATTCATCCACCAACCTTCTCAGGAATGCACACATAACAAACAACGTACCTATACCGCTCTCCTCTTGAGCGCGGCTTGCAACATTCTGACCATCGTCTGTGCAATATAGCATTGTCGTCTGCGAAACAGTGGTTACCTTCAAAAGCTTCACTATGAGCAACCATACCTTTTCAAATTTGTTCCTTCCGCAGTCGATTCCGCACCACGCGTGCTTTAACACTGGGCCGCCCCATTTCCTGCAGCACTGCCTGTGGCGAAACTTCCTGTAGCCACGATCGTTTGTAATGCTTGTCCAAAAGCCTGCTCATCTTCAGTACTCCACCGACAGCGTCTTTTGCGTGGTGGCGGACCAGACTTCTCCTCTTCGTTAACAGCTGCCTCATTGGTGCCGCTACCATGCCTTAATTCTTTACCACGATTAGTGTTGTAAATAAAGGTATCTAGTTGCTTCTTGGTAACATTGGCAAATCGAGTGTCCTAGGTGCTTGACAGTAACTCTTCTATTATCTGCAGCTATACGTTCTGCAGCTTGTTGCAACGCAAGCAGTTGGTCATCAGTCCAGCGGCGTTTGCCCATGCTGCTTCATAGCAACACATTAAAAGCATAAGTATTCTAACGTTACTGTGATACGCTGCACTGTGTATAACTACAACGACTATCCGTGATCAACAAGGGATGCCAAACAGCCACTGTAAGAAAGCACGTGTACGACAGCGCCTTTCTGAACAGCAACGTTGCACCTTAACAACAGACAACAGGGAAACACATTCGGTCGTTGTTCCGAACATTCACAGTAGCACCACATAACACCAACTTTATGTTCATGCCCCATAACCATGTTGTCAGTGTGTTCGAACAACTGTTCTCCATGGTACCGTGGCTTACATTTAGTAATAGTCTGCAAACATTTACAATGATATGGCTTCTTGCGCGATGTTACCTAAATAGGAAATTTACCTTGGACCTTAAGTCCCGGTATTCCCTATGGCTTTTTGGGCGGAGCCCCCGCCGCGAAGCGGCTTCGGGGGGACTTCGCCCCCCAGGATTGCCCCTGTCCGTGTGTCCGTGTGTCTGTTAACCTTATCACTTTGTTTGCATTTCACATGTTAGCTGTTTAAAAGCAAGTTTCCTGGGTGCAACCGTGGGGCTAGCGAGCGTCTCCACGCCAAGACGGGGCACGGCTGTGTCGGGAGCTCTTAGGCGATAGGCATTCGCTCAAAAGCCTTACACGGGATTGCGGTTTCCAGGTGCCAGTCGTGTCAGCGTGTCCGCATGCCGCACACAAAGCTAAGGATGACCCGCAGCCAACCCAAGACCCCAAGCAGTCCAGGTGTCTACCTCCACTCGACTGACAATGAGCCGCCATCACCGGTATTCCATACCGCTGCACCTCTCGACCACCTCGCCTCAACACGAGCGAGTCACTGTCCTATTTGTCCTGCACCCGTCTCAACTAGCCTCACCGGGCGCCCCACATGCGCCAGCGAGGTGGGTCGAGCAGCCACCACCACAACGTCAAAGCGCTAGCAAAAGGGGGACGACTGCTGTTTACAAGTAGCCGGCAAAAGGGGCATACCGCGAGACACCACATCAATCCATTCGGACAAAGATTCATGTGCCCGTCTATCAGCTTTCCTCCCGCCCCACCAAGCGGGACTCGTTGTTTCACATATTTAATTTTGCCCCACCAAGCATCCCCGAAGCACGCCGGCCCCTTCCCCGGCCTCCAACACCTCACAGTCCCTCCAGCCATGCAAGGAAGTCAGTCAGGTACCCGCCAGCACCGACCACGTGCGCCAGCGCAGCCTGCCGCACCACCCGACCGACCCGCTCCCACTCATCATCAATGTCACCATCACCATCACCAGAATCGTCACCCGCCACTCCGCCCCTGGCCCATAGCCGGGGTTCATCCCAGAAGGTCACAGTAAATGACGCTAGCTGCATATCATCCAGCCACCTTAGTGCACCCCCTGTAGTTGCCTCGGCCCAGCTCCGCACAAGCCCAAACTGGACAGCATACATATATACGTTCAGGCACGTGGTGGCCGTGCGATGGCGGACCATGCATTCAGGTGCATGTCAGGCTGCGGCAGCAGCACCATCCATCTTCGCCCCGCGTATCCATCATATGGGGGTACAGATAAGTGGTGCAGCCCAATTTCTTTCGGGTAGGCTCGAAAGCAGGTTATGCGAGCTGCTTCGGCGGTGATGACCCGCCCATGGCCTTCAACTGCTGCTGTACGCGCTCCAGGCGCTCCTCAAGCGACGGAGTCAGAAGAAGCATCGTGGGGCCGGACCAGCCGGTCGCGTGAAGAAGGCGCATCACGGCGCGGTCGCGTGAAGAAGGCCCATCAGGGGCTTGCTCCTGTGCCGCCTGCTGCTGCTCCTCCGGTGGTCTCACGCGCTACAACACGACAGAGTGGGTGGAGGGGGCGGGGTGGGGCGTTCAGTTCGTCAGGATCCGAATTTTCCTTGCACTGACAGACATAGCCTAAACGTGGTGTGTTTGAGTGGTTGGCTTGAACCAAAACGTTGTTGGGTTATCTTAAGCGATCATGAATGGATTGTGCTATGACAAGGGTCTCCCCACATTAATGGATCGTACATTGACTTTGGCCGTACCCAAGCCCTTCAGATGTAAATTACAGAATCTCCTACATGAAAGGTGAGGTGACGTGTCTAAACCCCAATTTACCACCTCCACATGGCACCTGGAGTTGGACTGTTTTGATGACAGACCCATGGGTCCGGCACCCTACTGCTCTAACGTTGCCTCTCATATTACCATGCATACCCGTTTCATATTTAAGGAATCAACATAACAAGCGTTTTATCACCACAGTCGGCGGTCTCACCCGGAGCTCCTCTTCCATATACGGCCGCCTCAGCTCCTGCAAGCGCTCCAGCCATCGTACCATGCCCGCGGGGTCGTACCCGGCCTCGGACAGCAGGTGTACGGCAATGAGGTCGGCCTCGAAGGTTGGCCTGGTGAGGACGTAGTGGCATACCGGCTTGATAAAACAGCCACACGCCTTGGCATTGTTGACTGCAATCTTTGGCAAAACGTATAACTATGGACCATGTGCAACATGGGTTTACGCTTTCTTAACCTGTAAGGCCGCACCTGGTTGATTGGTTAACCGTATACTCCTCCTGGTACATGACACGCAGGAGCTCCCCCAGGAGCCCAAACAGTTGGAGCGTCAGCGACCTTTCAGCCTGTGAGCGGCACGAATAGCAGCCATCCATTCACCGACCAGCCCAGCTTATTGGCCCAACAACCGAGAATGCACACCCATGCATGCGAAAGGGCAACTGCATGTGTTCCCGCCATGATGCAACATACAATCATGCGGCTGTCCCACGTCGGCAAGCGTGACTATGGGTAGTAGCATCTCATCAGTTTCCTGCAGCTGCCGGGCAGCACTACCGTACCATCCCTTCCCACCTCATGTCGTGCCAGCTTTCCCGCCAGCTTGTGCGCCAGCGCTGCGGCCAGCAGTGACTCATCCTCCCCCGCCAGCTGCAACGTGCGCTGGTGGAGCAGGACCTGGGGGAGGCGGGGGGAAGGGGTAGGCGGAGGGTAGTGCGTAGAAAGCATTTAGGACAGGCACGCACTATGCATCCAGATGACTGCACGTTGGCCTGGTGTTCCCACTCCGTCAGCCAGCAGGCGCTACCGACCTCGTGCGTCATGTCCCCGCCTCGGCCAAACGCGCAGGTCGGGTAGCCAGACGCCAACCATATCTCGCGGCAGGCTTCTGAGTCGAGCTTTCCTCGCCACTCCTGGCGCTCGGCCATCCACTCTTCCTCCCGCCCCTTGAGCTGCTCCTCGCTGGCTCCAACCATGGGCGCCACCACCGCCACCGCCCACGGCATGTCAGGTGGAATGTGGTCGTACTGGCCCCCGCCCCGGCCCGCAGCCGCAGCAGCAGCCAGCCGCTGCAGCACCCCCCGCACTCGCACCACGTCAGGGTGGTCGGCGGGGAGCAACTGGTTCCACCAGCCCACCAAGGCCCTGGCGTTCTGCGAAGGGATGTATCGATGGGAAGTGGAAGGGGTACAGGGTTCCTGACAGGCAGAGAGGTGCGTATAAGGGGATTGGGGCTAAGCTACACAAGATGAGTTCTTAAGAGGGTGTCATACTTGCGGAACTCGGTAAACGTCCTCCGTATCTTCGGAGGGACTAAGGAATCGCTATTAATTGCAGGATGTTGACACTTGCTGAGTTTACCCCGCTTTGGCAAGTGCTAGCCCCAACTCACTGCAAGGAAATCCTCCTGCGGCCTCCCCGGCACATACGTGCCGTCCTTCGACGGCTCGGAAGCCCGTGACTTGGGCACGTGCATGCGGTGGGTGTACGGCACCTGCAGTACAGGGCAACTATTACAAGCTTGCAGTTGTTGTTTAAGTACAAACCGCAATCGCTCACAAATAAGCACATTGAACAAGTGTATGAGACCTATGTTCGTAGCGTGCCCACACTTCCCTGCTGCCTCATGCACATGTCACTTGCCTCTTCAAGCTTCGACAACACGGAAAACACCCAACCAGCAAGCAGCACGAGGATAAAGATCATATTTAGGGATCTGCGGCGCACGATACCGGAGGTTAGCGCAAGCGGAAGTAAGCTGGGGGTTGACGCGAATGTCGGTACACCGTGGTCAACATGCATACGGTGCAGGCGATTGCAAGCGCGGTTTCAAGCCTGCGACGGTTTACTTAGTCGAGGTAGGAGGCTCACATTGGTCGGCCGAAACGCCGGAGCAGGGCCGCCGCAAAAGCGCCAATGATGGCCAATGGAACTGGTCCAAAGAGAGCTATGACACCGGTCAATATCACTATGACCTCAAATCGCCACACGCTGCGGGGGTAGAGGGTTAGGTAAGAGAGCAGGTTGCAGCAGGTCAATCGTTAAATAAGGGCGGAAGCAGTGCGGGCAATACACTTACCACCATATGAACACCTTCCAGAACCCTTCCCATGCTTCCTCCCAGAAGGACTGGGCGGAGGCGCCGGTTGCCGTTGCCATGAAGCGCACGAGAGCGAGGGACGTGCTGCTGCTGGCGGCTGCTGGGAAAGCCTGGCTGGCTGCTGCAGCGGCCGCATTGCCAGCTAGGCCCTCCAGCAGGGGCAGAGTGCGGTTAGGTGATGGGAGGGAGAGCTGAGGAAGGCTAGCCCGCGCCGTGACCGGAAGGAACCTTGGTGCGACGAAACGCGGCAGTGCTGGGAGTTCGGAGGTGCAGCCCAGCAGCCCAGCCGGCGAGGCTCCTGCTGCCCGAGTGGCAAAGCAGCAGCTGAGGCGCTGCAGCAGCCTTGCCTGCTGCGATGCGCCTCCCATAGCTCACTTACGGCGAAGCCTGCGTAATCGAGGAACGATTGGTTGCAGACGGCGGGAACGTGCATAACGGTTTCCATATTGCGCGCTTCCAGTGCACCTAGCGCAGCCTGGTTTCAGCCGCTAATACGCCTTTTGCTTTCGCCCAACGTAAGGAGGGACATCATGACCTTACCTTTCCTGGGGTTGCTTTGCAACTGTTGCCCCGGAGACGAACGATGCTATCGCCGACGCGAAACGTTGCAAATATATAAATGAATGACCGCTACAATATATGTTCAAGGAAGTTAAGCAGTGCAATAAATTTAATTGGATGTTAC